GGCATAAATATTGACAGAACTGTGTGTGCTGCTTAACCTCTTAACATCACAAATGCTGCACTTTACAATTATTTCATATAATCTGTGCACCACCACTCCATTCCACTGGTGATGCACAATTCACTATCTGAAATACCTCATTCACTGGTCAGGAAATCATATGCAAGCAGGCCTACCAAATCATGTGATTTCTGAATTATTGAAACTGGCGTTTTGAAGAGCAGTGAGCTTGTTTATTAGTCAATAAATCAACCTGTTTGTAGAGAGGAAATGAAGGTAGCCATTTCCGTAAGTACAGAATAGTCCAAGTAATGTGATTTTGATTGAGATAAAATGGATTGCAAGATGATCGAATCTACAAATGATATAAATGAAAAAATCAAACCACTACAATTTCATTGACATGATACAACGGCACAAAATACATTTAGATGGAAGGCATAGTTTATTAAATCCACTGTACATAAACTCACCTAGCTGCTTGATTATACCACAATTCATATTTATCTCGGCAAGATAAACTGCAGAACTGTTTTCTTTTGCCATCCAAGGTTTTATCACACAAAGCTTTACCCATTTGAGAACAATAATCACAGATTATACACTTCAGTCCAAGTCCCTTAGTAAACGCTTGCTTGAACAACAGTTTGCAGCCTGTGGTGAGAATAACGCTTATATTTAATATAAGGAAAGCACTAATCTTACATACAAACCTTGCATTGCATCCACAATTTGACTGTAGCCAATGTATCAAGGTTTTATACACTAGATGCTCAGTGCAACTTACGACTACAACTCTGATCATGTCAAGTTCTAAGACATTTAGTACACATAAAAGGACATTGAGCTTTCTTCCATAAATCTGCCTGTCTACTAGTATTTTATTTTTATGAGCTTTAACTCATTAATATTAATCATTTGTAAATCCTCATAGTTGCAATTTAGCTAATTTAATTCAACCACGTTTGAAAATGAACAATAAATACAATTTTGTCAAAATTGAAACATGTTTTGGTTTGTTTGTTAATTGAATGTCAATCAGAGAGCAGCTCGTTTGATGACAGATTTTTTCAATGAATGAGATGCATGCATGCTTTGACTCACCTAAAGTTCTAAGGCCTTTATGGTATATTCTATTTCAAAATAGGACCATAGTGAATTCATTCCAATTGCTTTGACATTTCATTTGAATCTCTGATTTTATATTTCAGAAGAGCACATGTACCTGGAATTTATACTAGCAGTATACAAATCAATACTTGCCTTCACTACAAAATGATCTATCTTGACCTGAGAACTTGCAAGTTTCAAACAAAATCTTTTCCATATGACAGGCATCACATACAGCAGTTACACCATTAATCTACAAACAATATATAAGTATTCAAGATAATATTTCATCCTTCAGTCCATTTCTTGTTCAGCATGTCTCAACTTCATCACAAACGATGCAACAAGTTAACTGCATGCCATTTTAAGTACATTTGCATCACAGACATAAACCTATGTTTTTCTTATCCTATCTGCTACTAAACCTGTACATGCACAATGGGTACATACCATGAACGTGGCATACATATATTGTCTAACACAATACCATTCATTGCCTTGATTAGCTTAGATTTGTATATGGTCGCATATAGCACAGGACATATGTTATACACAAGACTCAGTTAGGGGTCAAAGATAAAGCACTTCAGTCAGATGGTGATTTTACAGGATATCATTTGTATTTGTTTCTAAAGTACAGGATAAAATAAAATTAGATAATTTGAAAATGTAACCAAATATACTTACTCTTTTGAATTCTTCCATACACACTCGACTACAAAATTGATTACAATTTCCTTTGTATTCCAAAGTGACTGGTTTACTGGAGAAATTCATGTGACACAGAGAACACTGTAGTTGCAATGTCTGATGTGGTAGTGTTACGGTGGGTGTGGCAAAATGTGCCTGAAATGCTATCACACAGTTATAACAACAGAAATTTCTTAGACTACCATCACTCATTGTAAGATGGAATAATGGTGCAGACACCTTTTTACAGTGATCACACATAGTTGTAGCCTGAGATACACTGGGAATCACTTTACTAGGTTGCTGCGATGTTGCTTGGCGGGTCGACGGTTGCTGCACACCCTGATTATTACCAACTTTGTCACGAAATGACTGCAGGCACCGAAGTGAACAGAAGAGCTGAAGCTCATTGTGAGAATCAACACGTTCTACCATTTCAAAGTTGTTCTTTTTCATTTTACACCAATGGCAATTGACTAACTTCTTATGAAACTGTTTGAATCGATCCATGCACTTAACAGTGCAGAAACGTTTTGGTTTTCCTTCAAACTGCATAAACTGTGGTGTAAACTTATCATTGTAGCAATTGACACCACACTGATCACAACAACTCATACTTAAGTTATGTGCATATCTAAAAGCAGCAAAACAAGCATCACTGCACAACTTGTGAACTTCATCTTGGAAGTTTACTTCATGCTTCACCTGTCAACAAAAACAAATACTAATAGTTAATATGGCTATAAGTATCAGTTTTCTGTACTAAGTTTGGCTTAAATTGACCACATTTGGATCTGATCACAGGTTTGGACAAAAGTACTTGTATTTTAAATGCTACTTACAACATGGTATGTGGTAAATACATACATACTTTTTGCTATTAAAGGACCTCATTACCATGGCTATTACCCCATTACCCATTCATTTTTTTGTGATAAGCTTGTTTAATTTGCCTTTGACTGAAGCAGTCCTGACAATATTTAACATATTCCTACATGTATTGATTAAATAGGCTTCTTGAATATCCTAGGGTTATTTACATATTATTAATAATTCCATAAAATGCTGAGGCAGTGACAGTCAATTTAAACAAGTCATTGTCAATGACACGTCCCCGTTCCGTTCATATTTGAGTGACATATACATTCAAAGCAGATCATGACCGAAATGCACCTGCATATGTACAACACATTGTGCTAAATCTGAACAAATCCATCCATGCATGACTGAGATCCGGTTCTGGAATTGTGAAAATATGTGATTTGATGCATTTTCGGC